TCACCTTCGGAACTTTTACCCTCCTTCGAGTTTCGATCCTCAGAATTTTTATCCCCCGAGCTTTTACCCTTCGAATTATTACCCTCAGAACTTTTACCCTTCGAGTTTTTACCCTCGGATTTTTCACCTCCCGATTCACTAGATCTATCAACGTCCTTCTTCTCATCCTCTGTACCGGAGTTATCCGAACTGTAATCGGATTTTTCCGATCTGCTGGAATACTCATCTTCGGATTTCTTCGTTTCTTTGTCCGAGTCGTGTCTGTCTTTCCTATGTTCACCTTCAAACGAGACAGTTTTCTTACGAATTTCCTGATTTTTATTCTTTTTATCTTTTTCTGATCGGTGCGTAGCCTCTTTCGTTTTGGCTCTCGGAGTCCGATCGTCGTTTTCCGAGGAATAGTTGCGTTTTTCGTCGTCGTCGCTCGCACTGGATTCTGAAGTATAGCTAGCATCTGATTCTTCGTCTGATGAGCCCAGTGTACGGCTCGTGTACTCATCTATCTTTCCATTTAATTCGGGCTCTGCAACAAAGAGTGCTAATTAGTTACTGTAATAATCAATTAATTAACCATCTAACCAATAAATTAATTGCAAACCAATTAATCAGCACATTGATCAACCTATCAGCCAATGGATCAATAACTAATCAATGGACCATTAGCCTACGGGTCTACACCTTAGGCTAATGAATCATTTGCATTATAGACCAAATTTTGATCTAGACAAAAATTTCATCACAGCTTGAAAGAGCATCAAAAATTAGTAATATTCCAAAGTTTCGTTGCGAAATGTTGTAAAATGCGGATAATATAGCCATGCGAAGTTTGCCGTTTTTCAGTCATTTTGTATTACGCACGGGAAATTGACAGCCCAATCGGGTGTTGGGGCATCAATTTCCCGCTTGTAATACAAAATGACTGAAAATTGCAAATTTCGCAAGGCTATATTATCCGCATTTTACAACATTTCGCAACGAAACTTTGGAATATTACTAATTTTGTGATGCTCTTTCAAGCTGTGATGAAATTTTTGTCCAGACTTGTCAAGATCAAAATTTCACTCAAAAGGGGAAAGGTCTATTGGCCATGCAAAGTGCTTGAATCACAGATCTCTAGTGTCAATCACCGAACAGGATTGAGTATCCGCTTACATGATGACGTGTTAATAAGAAATAGGGACATTTTCCCTATTCTTTAGATCAAAATTTAGTCTATAAATGCAAATGGTCCATTCATCAGTAATCATGCAATGTACTAATAATTAACTTATTGCATCGATCTGTCAATCAATACTCTGAATATACACTCAATCTATTGATGAATTAATCAATCCGTCCATCTAACTATCATTAAGGCTGTTTTACAATATCAAAGTTTCTGTGATCACAGTAGGAATTTTGTATAGGTAAATTCTAAGTTTTGAAGGATTTGTAAGAAATGTTTGACGGAAGCGACTCAGTGTTTAACATAAAGTCAGTTTCCTCCAACATTAGAGAGCTTGAGATGTGGTAAATCTAGGACGTGGACGTGACAAAAAACACACCCTAAATTCGCAGTGTCAGCAACATGGGTAAAAAATATGGATTCTTTCTGTCAACAAAGAAGGACACAAGTGAAAACCAAATTTAAATTGGTATCAAATCCAAAAGAAAGCATAATTAAGTAACTGTCTTTTTCTCACGTCCGCGTACTGGATTTAGCTCATCTTAAGGAGGCTCCCTACAGTTTCCAAAATGTGTGAGTGTTCTAAACTAGAACCAATCTCGTACCCAGAGTATACCCGTTCGCAGGTTAGGTGCTGGGCATGACTCTGGAGAAACGGAATACCGGATATCCAATTTTGGATATCCGGTTAGTTGTGCGCATGCTCACGCTCA